GGGGGGGGGGGGGGGGGGGGGGGGGGGGGGGGGGGGGGGGGGGCGGGACAGTGGCAATCTCACTAGACTAGTACATCAGAACCTGAGGCTAATGTTCTGGGGCCACAGGTTCAAATCCCACAATGGCCAATTCAATAAACATCTGAAATTTAAAAATAAACTACTCTCAGTTGTGTCAAGATAATTTCAAGTTCATTAATGTCACAATTTTACTGGGGAAGGGTGTGCAAAATGTCATCACTAAATGTTTAAGATCCCAATGAAATAGCCAATTTGATCATATGACTGTGATTCAGGACAAAAGCAATTCAAATCAGGTTACTTTATTTATTGTAACCCACAACTGTAACATGAACAGTGAAACGAAAGCATTTCATACAAATTTATGAATCATCAGCTAGAGAAGGCCTTCAGCCCCTTCAACTACTGTGCCATTCAATATGATAGAGGCTGATTGTAATCTCAAATCTGTGTTCCTGTCTACACTGACACCCTTTCAATGACCCACTTAACAAAAATCTATCTACATCTGTCTTCAAAATATTCAATGACTGGGTTTACAGCATCTTTCCTGGAAGAGAGTTCCAAAGACTCTTAATGTTCTGAGGGGTAAATAAAATTGCCTATTCTTAGTTTTAAATGGGGGACACTTGGTTTTTAAACTGTAACTCCTAGTTTTAGAAAGAGGAAACATTGCCTCCATCTACTTTGTCAAGAACCCTCAGGATTCTATTTGTTTCAATCAAATTACCTCTCATGCTCCTAAACTCCAACAGATAGGAGCCCAGCCTATTCAACATTTCTTCATTAGACAACTCACCATTTCAGGTATAGTAAGAACTGCCGATGCTGGAGTCAGAGATAACACAGTGTGGAGCTGGAGAACACAGCAGGCCAGGCAGCATCAGAGGAGCAGAAAAGCTGACATTTCAGGTCGGGACCCTTCTTCAGAAATTTCAATGTGTTATCACCATTTCAGTTATTAGTCTTGAAACCTTCTCTGAACTGCCTCCAATGCATTTACACCGTTCCTTAAATAAGATGACAATACTCTACACAGTACTCCAGATATGTGTCTCCAATGTCCTAAACATTTGAAGTATAACCTCCCTGCTTTTTATTCAATTCCCCTCGAATGGTAACATTCTATTAGCTTTTCTAATTATTAGCTGTACTTTGAATACTGACCCTCTGTGATTCATGTACAAGGAACCCAGAAATTAGCTCTGAGACATTCAGGGATCTATTTTATGAAACTTAAACTATACCCCTGCAACTACTCCCCAACCATTCCCACCCCCCACCACACGCTCTCTCTCTCTCTCTCTCATGATTAAGACGGACAAAAGGCAAATGGTTTAGCACGTACACTTGGGTGAAACGGAATATATACAGGGTAAAAAAAATTCCGAAGGTTCGGATGTCAGGTGGAAAGTTACTTTTCCCCTCTCAGTCCTTTTGATTTTTGCAATGATGACACACTGTTGTATGTAGAGCGACAGCCATCGTCTAGTTTGATGGTTGATCAAGTGAATGTGGAATTAGTACAATAATAGACCTTTCTTTCAAGCTTTCTTGGGTTTTCTATCTCATAAAGAGAGAGAGAGAGCAACAGATGCTTTCTGTTTGCAGGCTCTTAATGTTTTTTCCACTTTCTCCTGCTTTTGGCACTTATAGCTCTTTAACACTCACCAGCTCAACCAGAGGCTGTGGTCAGGCAGGATTTCTGTGCCATTCGTTCTCCAATTTTCACACTTACCAAATAGCAACATTGTATTGCACAGATCGACAATATAGGCAGCGCCTAATTTTTCACATTGTAAGCCTTTCCTGGTAAATGGCATTCAGTTTTTAGTCCCAAAAGAATTAATAATACATGGTCTCTTACAGGAGGGAAATCTACAGTCCTTACTGGTCTGATCTACATGTTGCTTCAAACCCTTAGCAACATGGTTGACTCTTAACTGCCCTCTGAACAATTAGGGATGGGCATTAAATGGTCAGTGGTGCCCACATCCCATCAGTGAATAACAAATAAAATATTGTGGCACACGCCATTTAACCAGTGTCCACTCAATCACTTAACTTATTATCCCTTCCCAATATTTATCCTAAATTCCCGTAACTTTGGGGGTTTAACTAATATTTTTTATGCAGAACATCGATGAGTCGGGTGTGTGTGTATGTGAGGTTTTCCACATTCACTGGTCAAAATAAAAATTAAGGATGTTGGCTGAACAGGAACACGCTCTCTCAATCCATGTTGACTGCAGTTCACTAACGCCTGACCCTTGAGTTCATTCTTGATAATCCAGTTCCTTTATTTACAAGGAGAAATCTGTCTGCAAAGCCCACTCCCAATGAAAATGGCCTTGCTTCCAGTTGTGGAACACTGCCCCAACCTTCACTATTGGGACCACAATCAACTGTTATACCAGTCATGCCCTTGTCGCTTTTGGGGAACTCCATATTAATTATTGATTCCTTTAATAAACAAAAGAGAATGAATGGATCATTGAATATATTACCTACCTCGACTCTGCAATCTCAATGCATCGTCGATGACTGTTAAAGGAGGCTTAAATAACTTAGTTCTGATTTCTGATCTCAGAATTTAAGAATTAATTTTACATTTTGGATAATGTAAAGAACCATTAATTCTATCAGTATAACCCAGGGTACAGTCTTCACATTTCTTTTTCTCCTCTTGTTTTAGGAACTGGTGTGCCTTTGTCAAATCCAAATTGTCCTCTACAGTGGTTTCATGTGGAGTTGAGCGATTTGTCCAGAGGGCCATGGAATCCTGTATGAACGGGGTGGTGAACTGCCCAAAGGTGGTGTAAGTACCAGCCCAGATATCACACTGCATGCAGCAAATCTGTTACTGGACATTGGAGAGTGAAGGGTTTGAGCCTATTACAGTGACTGGTTTCCTCAAAGGAGTGGGAGACAAGCAATGTTGAGTGTATTGATGGAGGTGTCCAGTGGATTAGAGGATGGGGACCCTGAAAGATGCTGTGAAGCTATAGAATTGGAGATTGTGCTTTCCAGTTAGGGGGCATGTTTAGTAAGAGAGCTGTAAATTTGTATTTGATTTATTCCCATGGTTTAACCTGAACTTGCAGCCAAGGTTTGACCTTATTGCACATTTGCCGATATGAACCTTACAGACCTTTCAATTTCCAACCAGACATTCTGATGCTTTGCAGGCTGTGAACAGCACCACTAGCTGCTTTCACAAGGCTCCAGCAATCCTGCTGTCTTGGAGTGAAGTGCTCGACAGCTCATGGAGTTTCCCCCGAGGTTATTCACTGGGGGCATCAGGGATCCATGAAGAATGTGTAAGCAGCTCCATGGCACTCCCACTAACAAACATCATCTCAATTAGTCAGGGAAAATACCTTCAGTGACAATATAGGAGTCTTGAGGGCTCGGGAAGGTAATGGATTTGATTCTGAAGTTTGAAAAAGCATTAGATAGATGAGGCATGGACTTCTCAATGATTAGAAGAGTAAAATGGTAATCCATCTATTTCAGAAGAGCACAGTGGCATCTCAAATTCAACCCATTTTCCTCACTTTCCAGACCAGTCTGTGCTTTTCTCTCCCTCTCTCCGTTTTCAGGGATTTAGCTTCCCTCCATCAGCCTATGAGGTCGCCCAAAATTCTGTCACTGCACCAAGTCCCAATTACCTATCACCTCCATGCTCGCTGATCCACTTTGGCTCCTTATGCACTGATGCATCAGTTTAAATATTCACCTCCTCATTTTCAAACCCTGCAATCCTCCCTATCTGTGAAACCTCCTCCGGTCCAATAAACCTTCAGGCTCTCTGCGCTCCTGATTGGCCTCTTGAGAACCTTTGATTTTAATTGCTCCATCATTGGCTGCCCTGCATTCAGATGTTCGGGTCCTAAGCTCTGGAATTCCTTCCCTAAACTTTTCCACTTCTCTAACCCTTGCCTCTTTAAGACAACATTTAAATTAAAAAAAATAGTCTATTTGATCAAGGCTTTGGTCATTGGCCTCAATATTTCAGCTTCTACTGTGCTTTGATTGAGTGTTTGTAAATCTAGGTTTTAAGATGTTAAAGATGCAAATTGTTGTTTAGGTACCAACTGGCTCTAAGACCCATGTACAAGGTGAAGCAGATGATTGTAACATCCTTGGAGTGGAAATGCTGTCCTGAGTATACAGGATCCAACTGTGAACACAAAGGTAAACCTCAGCATTGTAATTCTGAAGTGCTGTACTTCAACAAATGGTTTCCACACCCAGGGTACAAAACTACCTCTAACTGTGCTAGATGGGAGATGTGATGGATGCAAGATTCAGTGATTGTGCAAAAGCTGGGATGCAATGATACATTGTTTAAGACAGATACCTAGAGATCATTAAGCACAAGATACATCCGGAGAATTGAAAGCTTTTGTGGTATAATGGTAGCATCTATATCTTTCAGCCAGAAGACATGGGTTCAAGGGATGCATCTCTGAACAGGTTGGTATGGAAAATATCCACAACCTGAGACATTCAAAATTGGTAGCGTTGCTGGTCCCAGTTTCAGAAATTTGATCTGCACTTTGATGTACTGATGGCCTGTGCTAATCTAGCAGTCCAAGGGACACCTCATTAGTGTTACTTAAAGGACTGACCATCAATGAGCAGCAGAAGGGCAATGTTGGTGGATTATGTTTGGAGGGGCTCTAAGGACTTGCCGCATATTTTCTGGAGAAGAACGAATTTGATGGTCTAATTCTGGATGAGGTTTGAGATGTGGTTCACTACCTCTGGGTTGACAACATTGCCCAGTTTAGTATAACACAGTATGGAGGTGGAGGAACACAGCAGGCCAGGCAGCTTCAGAGGAGCAGGAAAATTGACATTTTCGGTCGGGACCCTTCTTCTGCTCCTCTGATGCTGCCTGGACTGCTGTGCTCCTCCAGCTCCACACTATGTTATCTCAGTCCAGCATCGGCTATTCTTACTATCACTCAGTTTAGTATGTTGCAGGAGCTGAGAAATTTTTTATAACGTTCTCTCTTTATATTCTTTGAAAACCTGTAAACAGTGATTTTCACAAGTGGCGAATATGCACAACTTTATAAAATCTACAAATACAGAACATACAATCCAATCCAAAAAACAAGTTTTCTATTAACATTTTACTTTAAAACCACAGATTAGTGAAGATTAGACTCAATGAGTGGAAGGGTATACAGTAAGCAATGGATGGATGTGAATTGATTGAAAACTGGACTTTAATTGAACTGTCTCAAAAGAGAGACTACAGTGACGTTAGTTCAACACCGGCTCCTTGGTGTGAATCTACCTGTTAATCCTTTCTCTGTGCAGTGTGCAATAGAAAGATGGTGACGAGGCTGGGATGGAATTTTCTTCTACGTTTCATTTCAGCTGTTCGGGATTAAGGGTATTTTGACACTTGGAAATCCTAAAGCCGATTTTGAGGAAATTTGAGAGATTTGAAAATTCGCTGCTTTTGTGCAAATCATGCTCGGCGACGAGTTAGCAGTGTGTGTGTGTAATTGAAGAAATGGCACAAAAAGTGAGTGGAATTACTTCATTGCCAGTGGGGCAAAAAGGGCAGAAATCACCCCAGTGTCAATTCAGGGGAGTTTCATGGAGGGTTTCTCTCTGTGAGCACTGGTTGGTTTTCTGTCACTGTTCTCTGCAGCTCCCCTCATTAGCTAGGCCTCAGGCCTCTACGGTGCCCCTTTCATTATATTTTCCCTCTTGCCATGGCCAGGACCTCTTGGTATTCCCAGTGCCAGTGCCATTTTTAAAGTTGGGCTGTGCGTCTGGTCAAGTGCTGCCAGTCAGGAGTTACCCTTCATAGTGCACGTAGTGGGGGCAGGGGGTGGGAGACAAAAGAGGTGTTTCTGAGGGTGCAGCTGACACTTCATTTGAAATGCAAGAGTTCACTCAGAAACGTATCAACCTAGAGATAGTAGGAACTGCAGATGCTGGAGAATCCGAGACAACAAGGTGCAGGGCTGGATGAACACAGCAGGCCAAGCAGCATCATAGGAGCAGAAAGGCTGACGTTTCGGGCCTAGCCCCTTCTTCAGAAAAACGTATCAAACTACCCAGGTTAGCCACCCTTAATGTCATTCTATCTCAGAACCCTGTCTAAGGGAACCCTGCTGTTTCCCCTGTGCTCAGTGTAACCTACCATCTTCTCATTGCTCGACATGGAAATATCACATCCTGGAAAGCCTTCTACGGGTGAAAATGTTCACTTTTATTCAGCAATAGCAAAAGCAAAGGATAAAAAAAATGAACAAAAGCTGCATTTCTTCTGGGAACAGATGGGGATCTGTCTTTCGAACAAATCAACAAGTGATCACTTCACCTACTGAGACTAGGTGTTGGCTCAGCTTCATTTGGTTTGTGGTAACCAGTGCTCTATCATGCAGAAGGTGGTGTTCTTCCTACTCCTCCTCAGAGGTCTTTAGTCACTCTGGCAGCTCTTCAGCCTCCATCACCTCTCTCATTGCCTGATCCAGTTGTAAGACCACAGCATATGAGGATTATCCAGCACTCTCCGTCTGGAGTCTACTGAAAATACCACTCCTCCCACCTTCAGGAAGCCTGTCATTTGCTCCGTGATGTCCTTGGTTGAAGAATGGGCAGCATTGGATCTTTGCTTAGTCTCAGTCAGGGGGAGGGGACCATTGTTCCAGAGAGTAATCCTTGTCTCCAAATAACCATCCTTTGTAAGGTACCCAGCCCTCGATGGCTTACCATGATCGACCCTACAGTGGGACATGGTGAACTCCGATAAGGAAGGCCATGGAATACCTCCATGTGGAACTTTGATACATTCCCTTGGATGCAGCACCAGCCTCGAAACTGGGAATTTTAGTGAATACAGTACAAGCCCGTGTCATATAAATGTAGTGGGAGATTGTAATTACTGTATGGTTGCTGAAACCATGTCCCCAGAAAGGCAGCATTGTGTATGAGAACACATCGGCAAATACTCACTATTCAAGGTGAGGGGCAATCAGGTCTGTGTCCTTTTCTAACCTAAGATCATGGTTTGTCTTTGTGAATTGCAGCCAACAAGTGCCGCTTTTTAGGTCACTTGGGATTAATTCTGATCATTTCCATCTCTGAACCAATCTGTGCTGATCAATAATGAAATGTCCAGGATGTATATTCCAGTCAGACACTGATGATGTTTCACATGCAGGGTGCGAGTATTACTAATGTCTTTAACTTGTCCTGTGAAAGAGCCTGATTAATGCAATTGTCCTTTGAAAGGCTTCACATCACCCTTAAATACAGCCCACAGGCTCAAACAGGAAAACAAACACTAACTGTGCTCACTGGCTCTCAGCCATTCCCTGTTTCCAGGGCACATTCCTGATCTGAAGGAGGATGGAAAGTAAAGCAGGAGGCACTCAGGATCTGCCTGGTTACCAGGTCACCAACCCCCCCCAACGTCTTTCTCCAAACCGTCGTGTCCCTATCTGCCTCGTTCTCCACACGATACGACATACCTCTTTGAACTGTGGCTCCATCACTCAACATCACTCCATGCCCTGGCCCTACAGCTTAATCATCCAGACTCTGGTGCAGCACTGCCCCCTGCTGTTGAAGCCAGGGTAGTTGTGATTGTTGATCACCTCCTCCTGCCTCAGTACCCCATATCGCCCTAGTACATGGTCATCTCCCTGTCACCGATATGTGGAGTTGCCCCTCTCTTCACAATTACTGTCTCCTCTACACCCCAGCACGCTGCCTCCAAGTCCCAGGCCCAAAGAAGGGTCACGTTAACTCTGATTTTTTTCTTGACAGATGCTGCCAGACCTGCTGAGCTTTTCCAGCAACTTGTTTCTGTCCCAGAATTTTCTCCCCAGCTTCCTGGCTATAGCGGTGACTCCTGATAACACCTCTCCCCTCTTGACTTTCATTGAGCTGACTGCCAAGATGGACCATACCCACCCCCAACTGTCCTGGACACCCATCTCTGACTAATGACTGACCACAGCCCTGACTGATCTCTACGCAGCTCCATAGTTGAATGACCATGACTCCCTGGGTGCACTGGATCCATTGGCCTAACTGTGACCCACTCCCCAGATTGTAATGATATCTACCCCCTGACTGCGAGTGTTCCACATGGTTGACCGTGTCCAAGCTCCTGAACTGATACTGGACACTGCCCTTGACTTACTGTAGTGGGGCCCCCTCACTGAGGGTTCCTCCCCTTAGACTTGAGACATGGCCATTTGGCTGAAGCACAGAGAGAATATTAGGCTGGCACATGGTGTGATGGATGGTGCACAGTACCATACAGTAACGAACATTTCTTTGACTTCATCACTGACAACCAGGACAAGCTGCCTGGCCTTGTGTCTGTGCTAAACGGAAAGGCAAGACATAGAGGCTGTGAGTATCCAGGTTGGTACAATGTGAGTGTGAGTTAAGAGCCCCGAGATATACTCTGGTTGAATCCATGAGCTCACAAAGTGTCCAGGCAGCAGCATTTTTAATGAAAGGTGCTGGTATGTTCCAACATGCAGCATTGAAGTGAAAAACCATAAATAAATGGATCAAAGCTGTGACACAAGGTTGTATGGCAAGACTGGTATCTGTACAATGCCAGCCTCCATGCATGATGTATGGGTGGTCACTGTCCATAGAACGTACCCCAAGACATTAGTGACTGCCTCCAAGAGGGAAAACTGAAGGAGCAAGCTGTGAGGATGGAGTTACCTGGGAGCTGCTTTGACCTTCACATGAGGAATTATCACTGTCTAGTTTCTATCCAGCAGGTGGGAGAGTGGGAAACTGCACATCAATGAGATGAGATTGGCATGTTAATGCACACAAACAGATGTAAATAGGCCTCAGTCTGCTCAGTAGTCTGGTTCTTGTCTCGACCTGGTTGAAAAATTGGACTTTCTTTCCTCATTGTCAAGAATCACATTTTTCCAATCCAGCCAGAAATCCTCGACTGATTCCAGACTCTATGAAGTCTCCTTGGCTTCAGGTTAAACATGGGCAAAGAAACCTCCTGCTGATTACCACATACCGTCCTCCATCAGCTGATGAATCAGTACTCCTCCATGTTGAACAACACTTAGAGGAGGCACTGAGGATGGCAAGGGCACAAAATGTACTCTGGGTAGGGGATTTCAATGTCCACCACCAAAACTGGCTCAGCAGCAGCACTACAGATCAAGCTG